GTGATTTCCTGGATTCTTTCCCCCCATTCTGTCTCTCATAGTTGAAGTGTACCTAGGATGAACATTACAGGCCTCTCTCATCTTTTTAAGTGGGAGAACTTGCACAATTGGTGGCTGACTAAATACTTTTTTGCCCCACTATGTACATACAAAAATTATAAGGAAACTCCAGGGCACTCTCTCTTTAAACATTTAAAATGACTTATTTATAATGGCATAGTCACGCTAGACCTACAAACGGCATGAAGCCTTCGTCAGCGAGTCAAACTGATCTTAAGAGACGTGGCCATTTTAAATCAGTATTTAACCAAAAAGGGATTTTCCACAGGGACATGGTGATGTGACCTTATGACATAGAGTGAGTGTAGACAAATACAAACCCGGTAGATGGCGTCTTTTGGTTGAAATATAGTACATTAAAGCTGAATTAAACAGCAACATAGTAAAAACTATAAAAGGCAATAGTAACAGAACACAAACAAATGTAGATAGAACAAATACATGTTTACAAAAAGCATAACAAATCTCATTGATTAAAATGATTGTTGGTGAACTTCTTCTGGGATGTAAAATCCATGAATGTCCTATATTTTGATTGTTAGGAATCATATTCAGAAATCCAACCGTTTTCCTTTGCTTCCTTGAGCACGTCCTCTTTCAGTGACAGAGATGTTTTATTTCCAGCTGAAGCAGATTGTGTGCTCCAAAGCCTGTTTAATAATTGAATGTCTCACTTCCCCTGTGACAGAACATTTAATCAATTTCCACTGTTTGACAGCGCCTTTAATCTCAAACAGGTTTTTGATGTTTCTGAACAAATTTTCCTTCAATTATTTACCCAAAGTTAAAAAGAATAAATTCCAAATTTGATGAATATATGGAAAAACATTTGCTGTAATCTAAATAAAAGGTGAGGATGTTTAGCAGGTACTGTACTTACAGTGTTTACCATTGTAGTTATGCGTTACTAGCACGCTACAATATAATAATTATAATTAAAGCACCAATTGAATGTCTAGTTTTGCAGGTCATAAACCAGTATAGGATCAATTGAAATGATAATGGTGCTAGAGAACAATAAAAAAGGAAAACATTTGTGCACATTTGACCTGCTGGTGTAACATCCAGGGATCACTAAAGTCACCATCGTTATCTTATTGATTTCTATACTCAATTTCATGACAATCCATCCAATAGTTATAATCTGAACATATCTGTCTCTCAGAGGTGGGAAGTAGTGGAGTACAAATACTTTGTTAATGTACTTAAGTAAATCTTTCTGGTATCAGTACTTTACTCCACCACCTATTTTTCTGACGACTGTTGACTTTTACTTCTTACATTTTTAACACAAATACCTGTACTTTCTACTTCTTACATTTTCAAAACAGGCTTGTTACTTTAGTTTTAATCTGTGTTTGGTGGTGTGATCATTATTATTTAGAGTCATTGCTTGCCTGTTGATTTGAACACGATCCGTGTATCCATCATTTCCTGGTCTTCTCTAAAGAAGATCGACCAATGAAAACGTTGTCATGTTGCCGTTGTTCAGCATCGAAAAATTCATTAGCTAACAATGACATTATTGTTCTATTAATATAAAGGGAGGTCAGGTACTCTTTAAAACAGCTGGTAGTTATGAGTACTTTTTACTTAAGTACATTTCGAAGCCCATACTTCTTAACTTTTACTTGAGTAAAGAAGTTTAGTCAGTACTTCTACTCGAGTACATTTTTAAACACGAGTATCTATCTGTACTTCTACTTGAGTAAAGGATGTGTGTACTTTTGCCATCTCTGCTGTCTCTTGATGGTTAAAACAATTGACGACTGAAAGAAAACAAGCATGCTGGCTGATCAGAAACCACCCGTCATTTCCCTTAGTCTGCAACAGAGGTCTTCTGATCAGAATCGTGTGTAAAATATACAGTCTATGGTAAAAAGGCTGAACGACTGACAAGTGAGTCATTATTAACGGCCAGTCTATTGATGTCATTAACAAAGATAAGGTCCACTCATGCATGGCTGCACTCGGGCAATAAAAGTAATTGAAAAGGGTGAGATATTATCCACTATCACCTTCATAATCAAAGTCAAATATTCTTATCTACTTGTTTGAATTATTCACACTCATGTTTGATTGAGATTTGGGATTGTAAATTGAGAATTAAAAGTTGGCAAATGATCCATCAGCACTAGTGAAGCCTTTACAGTGTCCATTCATTTTGGATTCAAATCCATGCACCGCAGAAGGTGAAGAGTCCCGATTTTCTTGTGATTTGTGATGTTTTTCAGCTGGATATTGTTTTGGAAAGCCACGATAAAGTTCCTGGTGAGGTCCAAATCTTTTGAAAACACAGCAGTGATAGGTTAAGCCAAATAAGCAACAAGCAGGCTGCCTTTGATGCTCTATCGGCTGGTTTCAACAATGTGGATTAGATCAGCCAATCACAACACTGGCTTTCGCTGTCTAAACTAAAAAAGTGTTTGAATCAAGTGAAAATGTATGTGAAAAAGAACCCCTAAAAGGTGGAGTCAGCGATTCCGGAGAAAGATTGCTGGTATTTGAACTCGACACCCCAACATCTACCCCCCTCTAGATTAACTGTCCTTTTCACTCCTTCCTCTTTATACATCCATGGCCTCTTGTGCACGAGCATGAACTCCATGACTCACTGATTGATATGATAACAAGCTACCACAGAGCTGTAAGGCCACATGTCTTTTTAAGTGCACCAAGTGAATGGACAGTGAGCAGACCAGGAAGAGATATTTGCTGAATTTGATCATATGTTTATTTATTTTTTAAATGACAGCAGCTTTAAGAATTTGAAAAATGTCTGACTGCATCATTTGATCAGATTATTCTTTCAATTTGTTATAGACGTTCCCTTTTATTCCTTGCTGTGCTCAAGTGATATTGAGGCTTTTGTGTTTCACATCCTACTACGAAATATATTATTTTATTTTTCGTCATGTCTCGTTTCTTTTACAAGAAAATCTGAGATGGTTCCTATCCTGTCTTTTCTCAGCTACAGTTATTCTGAATGCCTTCAGTAAAAAGCTGCCAAAGTCATGTCCAATTTTCCTTCCTGGGAAAACTACCAAATGGAAATGCAATGAAATAAAACTGCCGCATTTCAGACACGACTGATGAATACTTTTAACTTATGGTTATTTGAACTAATTTAACGACTGAGAGACTTCAGGGAAGCCTTACTTCTTAATTCTCTACACGATCTGCCTAATCAGAAGCCAGGCAGTGGCGCTGCATCAGAAATGCAATGCTATCTCTGTATCTAGGCCTCACATGTTTACTGCTCCGTCTGGAGTCCCTCCTGAAGTGAAAGTGTGTCATCTAATGTATGCAGCCAACAGTCGCTGCTCCTGAGCTGTTCTGGGTATTACATAAACTAAACAGATATGCAGTGTGGAAATGGCCTCCTGTCAGAGTGTGTGCCGCTCTTATACGGTTCCTCTCGCTCCCTGGCAACTGCAGCCATAGCGTCTCCGAAGACTTGCACTATGGGGAGACTTGTTCTGCATTATCATTAAAGACACATATGGGGCGTGGGGCACCGCAGCGCTGCATGTACAGTATGTCACACTGGATCAAAAAGTAGCCGTACGCTATGTGCAGATTGCAGCCTCTCCGTAGGCGCATTTGCTGAATATCAGTATTTTTTCTGCTATTTTGTATGGCATATCACACAGAGAAGCACCCATAGATTGTGATGAGACAGAGCTAGAGAGTCACAGCCCTCTGCAGTGCCTCCATATTCCTAAGAAGCAGCATCTAGGCAGCAATTATCAGAATGTGAAGATTTCAGGCAAGTTTTCCATCAGAGCATATCATCCTGTGCGAGAGAGAAACCAGCGTGTCGAGTGCAAATGTTCCCTTTTAATATTTCCAGCAGCGTGCTACACTTTAACAGCTGACACAATCCCACCTTCGAGACTATTATAAAAAGGCAGCTGTTTTTTGTATGTTATTTTGTTATGTTATGGCTCTATCTTTTATCCACCGTTCACCATGGCGTTGTCACATGCCACGAAGCACACAGCAAAGCATCATCAGTGAGTAATTGAGAGTGACTGCAGTGCAGAGCGTCAACACCAGGGGGAACAGAGCGACCTGGCGCATGGCTCCACATTTCACCATCTCACTCAGCAGCTGGTGATCAAACCAATCCGATATGGCTGGAAAACTCAGTCCCCCCCCCTTTTCTATTTCTCTTCTTCTTCTCTCATTACCCTCGGAGCAGCTTGATTCACGTCTCCATCGCAGCTAAATGTGGATGATAGCCTGTCTTTCTCTGATGAGTCACACTTAAATTGATACGCAATGATTTACAGTGAGAGCAAACGTATTTTCTGGGTTGCATTTCATGAATAAAGCCTTCCAGTGATACACATTTTAAAGGGGCCCAATTATGCTTTTTGGGGTTCCCCCTTTCCTGTAGTGTTTTACATAAGTGTTGATGTAAATGTTAATAGTCTGCAAACGCTTAAATCCTAAAGTACTCTCGAGAGGGAGTTTCTCTCCCACACACTCCCCCCCCCCCCCCCCTCCCTGCCTGAAACACCTCCATTGGACTCCTTTGTTTGCTTCTGTAATATAATGACAGCATTACGTAACACTTTTGCTTCTACTGGCTAGGGCTCCAACACATTGTACCTGATAGGCCAAGGGGCGGGACATCTATAAGCGGTTGATACATCACAACAGAGCCGGCCAGCTAACCAATCAGAACAGACTAGGCTCTGGTTTCAGACAGAGGGGGAAAAGAGGTGCTGCATCAAAGGCAGTATGAGAAAAATGAAGACCTTTTTCAACATTAAAGCATGGAAACATGTCACAGCAGAGGCACAGAATACATGTATGAAACCTGAACATGAGCAATAAAGGGCCCATAATAGGCAGAAAACACATTTTCAACATTATGATTGATTACTTAACTTACAATTAACAAACAGCTAAATGGATACATTGACATCAGATATGGTCAGTTTATTGCTTTATTTATCACAAAAATATTGTTAATCACATCCTTCTCTTCCTTTTTTACAACATAAGGCCGCTTGAGTTACCGACAGCTTTATTACACCAGTCACGGTGTTGAATTCCAACATTATTATTTGTGCATTTTTACCACAACTGAAATGTCTCCAGTGGGAATTGTATCATTATAAACAGAAGATATGTTCATGGTAGTGGAAAGCAGCACTGCACGGTCCATTAGTGCTGGGTGATAATCAGCTACTTTACAGGTTCAAATGCTCCACAGATCCATGGGAAGTCACAACTGTTTACGACCTGGGCTTAGTTGATATAAAAGCACTATATGACCTGCCAGAGAGATATGATCCTCGACTGGAGAATATCAGTTTTATTGCAGCCAAGTGTCCCGTATCAAATTAGCATACAATATAACGGCAGCGTAAATTGTATTTGACTATGGAGGACATGTCTGGCATAACAGATGGTCACAGGGGACAATAAATAACCCTTTTAATAACAGACAGAATATTTATACTGCACTCACTGGCTAAAGACACAAACTGATAGGAATGGAAAAGCTGTCACTTCTTAAGTGTTCAATACATAAAGCATGAGCACATAAAAAGGGTGATCTCTCCTGTTCCTGTTTGATCCAATCTGTGATGGTTAATACTCATGAAGCAGCTTTTTTAAAGTCTTAAATCATATCAGGGTCTTGCTAGAGCCCGTGGACACCTAAAGAACCACCTGTTAAAACTTTTCTGAGCATGTGATACTCTTCTGTTAATATGAGATCAAGTTTTATCACCAAAAATATTTATACAATGCCGAGACAGCTGCCCAACTCCTTCCCTCTATGGAGCTGGCTATAATCTTCCTACAGTCATTTGGTCAATTCCACTTATCTGCACACTCGTGTAGCACTCACAAGCCCGCAAAAGCTTTTATGGATTACTGGGAACTTCAACCCCACAAATTACGTCCGTCTTTCAATATTGTCTTGTGTGCCTTTTATCCTACAGAGTTCAGCTATCACATGACACAATGTCCTGCACACTGCACTAAATATATGTTCAGAGCAGTAAGAGAGTGAAATACAGTAAAGCACATCTTGCGCTGTCCCTTTAAGCTTGTATATGAGCTCATACGCACAGATGTTACGATGTTCATGCACATCATTGTACAATCATAATATTTGGCAAATGAAAAGATTCTGATTCCACTGTGGGACTGGCAAAATTGTGTTTTTCCATCTTCTATTTATCCTTCTTGGAGTTTACATTCATGTTTCAGTTGGATAGTTTTCTAACAAAGCTCCTTTGAGAGCAAGGGGCCAGCAGCTTGTGAAGGTTAATGGTAAGGAAGAGGTCACAAATTGCTTCATTCAGGCTCCTCCATTATCTGCTCCTGCTGCCAAAAAACTGTACTCTTGATGGCTTCCATTCATAAATCAAATCTCAAGCAGACGAGTAACAAGTGGTCATCTGAGGAGGATTGGGCTGGCGCGAGTCCAAAAGATAAGTCGTCCGCTGCACACCTCCGACACGGAGAGGGAGAGCTGGTGATAAAGAATTGGGAGAGGACCAGAAAATCAATCAGGAAGCCATCTGGCAGCCCGGCGCTCCGGAGACAACCAACAACTGTGTCCTCCTCCTCCGCTGTGTTTCCCTCGGTCCCTCTGCATCGCCTGAGGGAGAGCCACACAAGTGACCGCAACAACAGGGAGATCTATAGCCGTCTGGTTCTTACCGATGGAAGCAGGAGGCAGTGTGCACAAATCAGTACAACTACCAGTCACACCTGTGCACTAAAAGGGGGAAAACATCGTCCCTGTGTGTGCTGTAGGAGCATACATACTTTTGGTAAGCAGCTTTGTAACAATTCTTCCTTCCGTACTCATTATATCTGAGACATAATTTAGAGTCAGTACAAAAGTATCCTCCGCAAGTCATATCTTAAATTATAATTACAGTTTGTTTTACATTAAGGCACTCTATGGGCTTCAAGTGTGAAGTTAAGATGGGAAAGAGGATGTTATTATTGCAATTTGCACTTATGATCATTAAGTGAATACATTCCCACATATTTATAATTAAAGTATTTAGTTTTATGTAGAAATTAAATATTTTAAATAAACATAGTTGACACGACATGACAGAAAATATGGCTATGATTTAGTCTTTTGAAGCTGCAAATCATTTAAAGACCACATGACAGAGGCAAGTACATTACGTTGAAAACAAGGAAGCCAAAACCTCCCGAATGACGAATTTCATTTTACCTCAAAGTTTCATTTGAAAAGCAAAATGACTTGGAGTCTCCTGTTATCAGTAGTTAGGTGATTAAGTTAAGGAAGTACTGGGTACTTGCATAATGCCTGTGATTGAAAGGTCACCTACAGTATCATGAAATATTTAGGCAATAGTATAGGTCTCAAGATATATAACAATTTATAAAAAACATGTCTATGAAGTGTTTTACTCAAAATACCAAACAGATCACCCATTCTAGCCATGCCTCATATCCCTCCATTTCACTTCCTGTTACTAAAGTGCTGATTCGGGGTATAAAGCTTTTTTTAAAATTAAAAAGAGGGGGCGGAGCTTATGTCTGCTCATGCGGGACCCGGCAGATACTGTCTAAAATAAATGCTGCCAAAACCACATCAAGGATTATTTCTGAAACAGTATGGAGCTCAAAGGCTTTCTCTCTTGCCGGTTTACCACAAGGTGAGTTCCTTTTTATTTCCTGCTTCTTCACACATGTGCTCTCTCCAGTACTGGTTAGCTCTGAGTGTTAGCGATGCTTGCTAATGTAAACAAGGGCCTTGATTCTGATAGCAACTTTCTGATAGGGCCGTAGGTCCACCACGTGGGTGCCATCCGATATGACGTAAATAACGTCATATCGGATGGCAAATCTAGATCAGCTCGTTGTCGCCCCGTTTTTCAGAGATTTGCGCACGGAGGAAAAGAGAGAGGGTTTTATTTTCTGACACTTTGTGAGTTCCCTGACATGCCGGGGGCACATATTTATGTATAAAAGACATCAAAAGTGCATTTTGCATGATAGGTCCCCTTTAAGGCTTTTCCTAAGCCACTGTGTGTAAGAGAACGAAATACCTGAATATTTCTCCAACTTTCTCTCTACAAGAGAGAAAACAGTGAAAGAGAGGAACTTGCAGAGAGGAGCGTTGGCCCCCTCTACAGGAGAAGTTGAAACATTTTGAAAATGCCTCATGATGCGGCTCTGCAAATGTCAGCCACTAGCACATGAGGGGCTTTGAGTTTGTTAAAAGAGGTGTAAAACTATTATTTTCATTAAGACCGACACACAGACGTTTCAGTGTCCATGTGTGCGTGAAGCAAGTGCTAAGTTGAGCTAAAAGATCGCCCCACTAGAGACGTGTGCAAAGGAGAAAAAAATGAAAAATATCAGCATGTAAAATTGCAGGTTCTCAATAATTGTCAAGTGCCTTCTTGATTAGAAAAAACTATGCATATTTCAGTTGGCCCCTGTCTCCCAGCAACAGCATCCTAGAAAAAATATCCCCCTATATATTTACAAAGTCATTAAAGTAAGTACTTGTCGGTATCATTTCTAATTGGTCCATTGAGTCCAGCTGGCACAACAATGTGTGGAAAACATATCCCTCCACAGGATATCAGCCCTGAATGAAAAATATAAGTATCGGCTAGTTTGATACAATTACATTCTCTCCTCAAAGAACCACTTCTGGTGCGGGCTGTCGGAGCAGGGCTGGAGAGAGGGGGCTGGGGTCCCGTTTTCTGTCTTGTCTACCGCCTGCACACACTTCTGGCTCAGCTCATGGTACAGGCTACCGTCCTGAAACAGAGATGTGGAGAAAATGCATTTTAAATCAAAGTTATTTGCTGGTTATTCGCTCGAATGGCAAGAGCAGTTAGAAAGTAGCTATTAGCGCTATCCAAGACATGTTTAAATAATCAGCTGCTCAATAAAGTGATATTATCTTTGTCAGTTTACTTCTCTCTCTATATACAACTATATTAAGCCTTGACACAGCATGGTGTAACTACACTGAAAACAGGCTTAACAAGTAGCAGTGTCGTGCGGAAAAGAATGCTAACGGTGTGATTTACAGTTTGGTATCAGCTACACAACTGTATCTCTGTATGTGCTTGATAAGAGTTTGACATGAATTACAGCAGATTTTGGCCGTGCAAGGACGTCGTGATTCAAATATCTCAGCTTCAATCCAGTAATAACACTTTTGAGATTATTATATTGTAGCAGATTTGTAAGGACATAATTCACCATTGTCTGTGGTTAAAAACTAGCAATCAATTTATGTGCCTTTTCTGGGATGTTTTACCTTCACACAAGAGTTGGACAGTGTCAATGTGTTACTATGGAAACAGAGTGTTGAAAGTAACGTTTTCACATACTTGTTGAGCTTTTAGCAGGTCAATAAACAACACAAGTGTTGTATAGTCAAAAATACAGGTTGTTCTCCTCTCTTTTTTTCCCAACTTCTACAGTAGTATCAATGAAATAAAATAATAATGATGAGAATAATGAATAGGACAACTTTATATATTGCCAAAAACCCTAAAACAATAAGGATATTTTAAAACAAATGAAGATAATAAAATCATCACAGGATGTTCTTGTATGGGGCAAAAGAATCACATCCCTACTAATAAAAGAGGAAAGGCTTTTAGATGATTGGATTGGTTAAGAGCTGGAAAACAGGGGATCGAAACAGTAAGAGCATTAGTGGTGGTTCAAGAAGGAAAGTAATAAATAAATGTGAACGTATGAAAAAAATAGTGAAACATTAAAAAGGAAATCTAATCAGAACCTCATTTTATCATGCACTTTTACTGCCACCATGATGTCACTTCCTGTCTCTCCGCACACACTGCCTCTTTGTGTATACCAGGATTGAGCTCCTTACCTCCCGGAGGACAAACTTCTGGTCTTGAGGCATGGGTTGTCCTCGCTTCCGACACAGCTGGAGGGTCAGGTAGGTGCTGATGGGGTCACCCACAACACACCCAGCAGGCTCCCTGGTGTTGTAGCGGATCTCACCCTCTGTGGAGTACTCAAAGAACTGCGGGAGGAAGTGCAAAATGTGTAATGTAAATTAAACTTTTTTGCCTTTTTTTTATTTATTTTTTTAAATCTCACTTAATATTCCACATAATATAGACAGAGTCAAATCAATATCATGTCATGCATGTAGCTTAATTGTTAATTTTCCACTGCAAGTCAACTGATTGCTATAACCAAAACACAAATGCATTTAGGTTTTGCAATATTTCAGAGGGTCATGTTAGACACAGAGAATGCCCAATGTATGTTTGCATGTTTATGTGTGACTCAGAAGAAGGCATGCAGCAGGAAGGATAACGGACCCAGCATACTGAGAGATGGCTTGTGAGTGTGTTTTTTATTTAATGTACTACACATACAAACATGTGTAATGCAGGTGTGTGTTTAGGGTGAGTTTACATCATGCAGTCCCATAAGGCAGACAGCAAAAGCCTTGGTTCCTAGGATACGTCAGTGTGTGTGTGTGTGTGTGTGTGTGTGTGTGTGTGTGTGTGTGTGTGTGTGTGTGTTGTGTGTGTGTGTGTGTGTGTGTTGTGTGTGTGTGTGTGTGTGTGTGTGTGTGTGTGTGTGTGTGTGTGTGTACAGTGGGCTGCTGGAGAAACAGTGGTACATTTCTGCTTCCTTGACCACAGAGCCTACAGGTGTGTCACAAAGGTCGACATATCATTTTTCAACCTGGGAAAAGGCTAACTAGTTCCCTAATGCAAGATTTGTATTTGAAATAGTTCTCCAGTAAAACTAAGACTAATCAAACATTTCACAATGCTAAAGGAAGACATGTAATGCCCATTCCAACGGACTGAAGTGACCCTTTAATGGCTGGCGTGCATTACCTGGTTCTGCCCCATGCCGTGACACTGGTACAGGATGACTCTTTGTCCCACCACGTTGTGCTCGTCTGAAGGGTTGTAGTCGAAACAGTAGTTGGATTTGCCGCGGCTCTTCAGCTATAATGGAGAAACTAATAAGGTCAATAAACCTTTGAAATTAGATGATGCCAAAAGACAGACTACTCATTAAAAATTGAAATGGATGCACTATATTTTTCGATTTAGCTAGTGAATGTATATGTGTATATTATGTAAATGAAAACTAAAGGGGGTTGGTTGCAGGTGATGTTGTCATATCACTGCTGTCTGGGGCGAACGTCCACTATGTGCAAACGCTTTTTTGTTTTTGTTTTTCCATATTTCCACTCGACTTTAAATGTAGCATTATCTGATTATGTGCATGTGTGCACCTATACCTGTGTGTATTTGTACTGTATTTGTAGAGTGGACAACTGAATATACCCTGAGCAAAGATCTTCATTATAAAAAAGAAATAATATAATTGAACTTTCTTACAAAACAAACAGACAAAAGCTCCTTAGTTGTGTTCTCACCATTCCAAACATGCCCGGCTTATCCTCTGGGACGTGAATATCGGGGTATATATTATCCAGATACCACCTGAAGTTCTTACAGCCCAGCTTCTCTCTGAGCTTCCTCCGCGCTGTCACATCTCCAAAGGCCTCCTGAAATCAAAGACCACAAATGAGTTTATCAGAACACTTCTGCCATAATAACCTGAGAATCAAAACACTCACAGGAATAACAAAATTGGTACGGTGTTCAAATTAAAACTTGTGTGTGTGTGTGTGTGTGTGTGTGGTGGGCTCTTGATACTGCAGTGTCAGAGAGGACACACTCAGAGGATAGTTTTGTGCTGAAATGGTATACAACAGCACCATCTATAGTTGTAATATAGTAATAATAGGACACTTACAAGGCTTGTTTAAAGGGAAAAACCAGACGGTAAACACAAGGTTTAAGATACTTCAATATAAATGTACATACTGCTCGTCAGACTTCATAATAAATCTGCTGATTCTAACAGCTGTTTGCACTGAATGTTCGAACGAGGTACTATTTCACTTTCTATGGGAATTTCCAAAAGATACAAACTTTTTAAGGATGCAATAAAACATTTGTTCTACAGGTTTAATACAAACTTTTTTTTAAATGTCAAATTTCTATATTAAGTCTTCCTGATATATTCCAAACACACAAGCATCGGAGCAGACTAAACTTCTGGATTGTTCCTAGCAAAGTCTTTCAAATATGTGCACTACAGGACAGAGGGGCTAAAGAACTGTTTTGTGTAACTATGGACTGACTCAGCATGTGACGGAGCCCACACACAATAAGGGGCACACTCTGGACTTAATTATCTCAAAGGGTCTGAATATCTCTAAGGTTGTGGTGACTGATGTTGCACTCTCTGACCATTCCTGTGTTTTCTTTGAGAGCTCGATTTCTGTTCACAAAAATGTTCAAAAAGAGGTAACCACAAAGCGATATTTAACTGAAAATACTAGGGAAATGTTTACTCAGAATTTTTCTTCCACACTTGCCCCTGCTAACAAACTTCCGCCTTACATCTGTTCCCTGATCTCACAGCGTATTGTAAATGGCTACTGCCTGAGATCTAAAGCTGTGGTTGTATTACATGTGCCAACTGCTAGGACTGTATTAGGAAATACAGCTTTTAGATGTGCAGCGCCGCTAGCATGGAACAGTCTACAAAAGGAATGGAAGCTAAGCAGTTTGATTCCATTTCATGTTTTTAAAGCTAGGATAGACGCTATACAATCAGAAAATATTGGTGTCTGTAAATGCTACTAGTATACAAACTGTAGTATCATATAATGTCCTTTGTTTTCTGTCATGTTTGTATTAATGTTTGGAACTAATTGAAGCAGGTCACCATTGTAAAAGAGGTCTATGATCTCAATGGGTTTTATCTGTATAAATAAAGGTTTTGAATTGAATTGAATTGAATCTCAGTAAATGAGCTAGTAGATCATTTTAATTCAAAAATTAAAAATGTTATAGATGCCATTGCTCCAACTAAGGTAAAGGAAGTGACTGGGAATAAAATATCTCCATGGAGAAAGGCCATGACCGTGAGAGCAGAAAAAAGAGAGTGTCGAAAAGCTGAACGTAGGTGGCGAAAAACAAATCTCCAGGTTCACTTTGAAATCTATAAAGAGAGACTTGGCCTTTATAATTTGGAATTATCTCTGCATCAGGTACAGCAAATGTGTTGTCCCTATGTCCACCTAATATAAATTCAAACACCATGACACAATTCCATCAGATTAATGATAAAAACCTAGAGGACATTATTCAACTTCTGAAATCCTCCTCCTGCTGCCTTGATATTATTCCAACAGGATTTTTCAAAGATGTTTTTCGTTGCATGGCCTCAGATCTACTTCATATAGTAAACAAATCTCTTCACTGAAAGTAGCAACCAAATTAGTTGCCAACTAATTCAGTCGTCGATTCGTTGGTGACGTCATCACGTGTGTTTTACGCGCCGTTAAGCTCCAACGTTATTGGTCTTTTTATCGGTACTGGAGACATTTTAAAAATATATGTCATGTATTGTTGATACAAAAACATTATATCGCAGTCTTAGTGTCGCCAACTCGTTTCTAATATGCAAAAAGACAACACAAATGCGTCTATGATGTATTTTCGATCAGACGAGATCTCTCTCCCCGGTCTGTGTGCGAGGGGGCGGGGCAGTTTACACACACGCAGCTGCTACAGTACATGCAGCAACACACTGCGGAGATGGCGGAGAGAACGCGCTCCGAGGTGTGGTTAAACTTTACCCGTCTCGCTGTGGACAATGCTCGTTGCCAAAAGTGCAATAAGAGTTAAGCATGTAAGGGCGGTAACACGAGCAATTTGTCTAAACATTTGGCAAAAGTGCACCACATTCAGACGGAGAAATGCACCGGGTACCTTTCTAGTAGCTCTGTAGCTCCATCCACGAGTAACGTTTCCACGTCAGGTGTTATGTATGCTAGCAGCAACACACAGAGTTAACTACATTATACAAACATGGGTTAATGATTAGAGGTAACTGAGTTATTTATTTTGTTAAAGTTTCAGCTATTCTGTTTACAGTTCCGTTATCACATAATTTAATACGATTTGTTAAAACATTGTTTCTTTTGATGTGAAATATTATTTATTTAATTTAAATAAAAAACAATGTTAATTTTGTTCAAAATGTGTTTAGTTAATTTAATAATAAATGTATTTTTGAATCAAGTATTCATCTTTATTGTCTTCATTTTTAGTTTCCACATGCCTAAAACAACCTCAAGCTAAATCTAAAAGTTGATGGCTAAATAAGAGCGTTTGAGAAATTGTGCAAGGCATAATAGTCCGAATAGTCGATTAATCGTTTCATTAATCGATAGATTAATCGATTATCAAATTAGTCGTTTGTTGCAGCCCTTAAACTGCACTGTAACTTTTATCCATGTATTTTTTCTTTTAATGTTTATTTTATTATCTTTTCTTTTTAATGACTGATTTTAAATGCCATTTTCTTAATGTCTTTCGTTTTTTGTAAAGCACTTTGAATTGCCTTGTGTTGAAAGGTGCTATATAAATAAACTTGCCTTGCCTTGGAATGATTTTGTTGTAATCTTTCTTTCTGATATTTGTGAAATATATATTTTAGGGGACAACAAGTACTGCTTTTTCTACATCCTGGTTAATAGAGAGCAGGACGAGTATCCATGTGTGTCTTGGCATGTCAGTAGATGCAAAAAAATTTTTATTTTCTTATCTAAATACCTTTGTGCATACACAGCTGTGCATACACACCACAGTAACCATGGCTCGTGATCTACGATGCAGGGAGGATGACAGAGCATATGCTCACCACACCTTCCCTGCTGGAGGAAGAGTTCAGACGCTCTGCAGGATGATGGATGATGGTGGTTCGCCCAAACATAGCTTTAATTGGCCCTTCATCAATTCACTTTCTCAATAGACGGATTCCCAAAGGACAGAGTCAGCTGACAATGTGGAAGACCAATGCGAGCCACTACAGTTTATGAGGCCAATAACAGGCAAATTGAGAGATGGTATTTAAATGACAGTAAAGAGCAAATGTAAGAGTGACACGCAACGACAACCCAGTATCTGGATCAGCAAGGGAGTCACAAACAAGGGAGTGTAAACAGATCACGGGAAAACATTGGATACAGATTCACTTTTGTATCCGTGTCATGTCTGAAAACGACACACTGTTGCAATTTGAATCTGCTTTATTTAGGTTGCACACCGCCTTATTACTTATTTATTAGAGTTGTAAACATAACTCACATGGAGTAAACAGGAGACTCATCAACTCAACAATTCAGCGATCAATCGTCCTGTAACCGTAATGTAATGTTCTGTAGCGTAGCTTTTTTTTGGTAATATGACATCGTTGCTGCTTTATAAATATTGAAATGATCCATCAATATATTACGTTTGAGACTGACTCAAATGACATACATAGAGGGCTTGGATCCAAAAACTATCATGTGAAGTTGTGATTTAGTCATACCAGACCTAAATTAATTAATTATTTACACAAATAAAAATCTCCCTGCCTTAGTTTATCCCTAAAAAAGGGAGTGATAGTTCCTGAAGAGAACAAAGGAAGATCTTTGTGTGTGTGTGTAGTGTCTGCTTTGACATGTCTGCCAGCGTCACGTAGTAGGAAGTGGGAATATGCCAAAAATATCTTCAGAAAGATACTTGGGTTGATAATCTCTTCAAAAGGTTTGACAAAATCTCTACCTGTGTAAATCAAAAACTGCAAGAAATGCCAGAAAAAGTGTCATGAAACCTATGAGATAAAGGCTGTCATAGGAAAGTTTAACAGCATCAAGAAAATAAAACATCTTGAATATAACATTTCTCAAAACGCTGCATGTATGACCAAGTGTTTGTTTAGAGAGTTTGGTTTATTAGGTTTGCCGAGCCATTGCGAATTTGGCAAGACTTCCTCCTCTCAGGGACATAGTGCCACCTGATCTGTGTTTAGAGAGCCTCTCCTCTTAAATACACACACACACACACACACACACACACACACACACACACACACACACACACACACACACACACACACACACCACACACACACACACACACACACACACACACACACACACACACACACACACACACACACACACACACACACACACACACACACACACACACGTGTTGCTCTCACTCAAGGACAGGTGGGCGACGCCTGTTGGCACGGAGGGACACGGAAAGGTGGTAATCACACACCCCTGTCGCCTGGCGTGTCTGCCACTCATGTATCCCAAGTGTCACTTAATCAGGGGAGCTTTTACACCACAGGGGGGGGGGGGGGGGCAGGCAGTGTGTGTAGTTTGTGTAAATATTCAAATGTGTGCATGTGTGCATTGAAATCATGTGATAAATCATCAGTTTTGTGGTGAGTCTATCTCCCATCTCCATAAAGAACAATAAACAATTCAGTCATTGCTATACTCTAACGCTTACTTGAAAATGCAATAGTTGTATTTGATTCCACTTGCACGTACAAACACTCGCCATCTGTGCAGACTCACCAGTCGTGCGTGGGGGTTTCGATGGTAGTAGACGTCTTTGAATTCATCCATCCAGACCTCAGCGGCTCTCACACTGTTTGCCAGAGCTTTGCTGCGTGAGTAGGGGGCCTTTTTAGGGAACACGTGGCCCACATGGGAGCATGGGTGGACCTCCAGGCTGCCTCCACACTGCCAAATCTAAGAGACATCACAAACACCAGCACCACGAGGGTTTGGTTAGCCACAGAGCCATGATTCACTCACTCCACACAAAGCACAGCCTTGTTGGGGCGGAACTTGGAGACGGAAAAGCTGTTTTGTTGTTGAATGGAAATATATTTGGGTGACTTCCCTTTGGGAAATTGCGGCTACTGAAAAAAAGGATGTTCAGATTCTTCACTGAAATTAAACTATAAAAATATTTGGCCTGTTCACACTGGTTGATATAATTATTTCAGGATGTTTGGGGAAACTATAATTCATCACATGATGCAGTTCTGGATGCCTTCTTACAGCTGTGTGTTTTAGTGTCAATTAAAATGTGCATATTTCATTTTAATATGCAGACAGCATATGAATTGTGACTTTTTGTATACCTAGAGTTACACCCTTAAACATTCAGAATACATGTACATATGAAACATTATTTCTTACCCTGAAGGAGAACTCCAGGTTCTCCCCTCCCCACACCTCCATGCCTGTGTCGTATGTTCCCAGGTAATGGAAGTAGTTCTTGCTCACAGCAAACAGACCACCTGCCATAGTAGGAGACCTGAGGGCAAAAACACATCACTATTTCCCTGCATCTTATAAATTATGATTTTTCTGCTGGATCAGCGAACTGATATATCATCTTTAGTGCCAGCTGACAGTATACGAGATCATCTACAGCTCTTTCTTTAAAGTTATCCTTAAACCCGGTATCTGCGCAAATCCAAATTGAATGACCTTAAGTTATTTCTTTAATATTTCCACATGCCTGTCTGCTTACTGGCCTCATTGCACTGAAGTGTGCCACAATCTGCTAGCTTGACAACTGTTAGTACCAACAATGTCCATGTTTGTTTACATGTCCTGAAGAGACAGGCTGTCAATGTTGCCCATTTAATAACTTCTACGCTAGATTGAGTGACTTTTGGAGCTAATGCTGCTAGCTACTTTCATTGGAAAAGGGTTTGCAACTTCTTTAAATGACCCACCCTAGCTTTAATTTGTATAACTGGAATATCCAGTTCTCATTTCCCTCACTACAGCGCTCAATTAACTTTACCTACAAAGCTGAAGCACACTACCCTTTCAATCAACAAATAAATTGGTAAAATGGTCGTTATTGTGGGAAAATATCAGCATAACAAAACATATCTGCGAGGGGAACAAGATCTGCCAGAACCAAGATATAAAATTAATGGGACTTTTTCTCACAACGTCCAAAAAACCCACCTGATGACATCAATAGGCGATCGACGGCGTTTCTGTTCATATTCTGGGACAGTGTGCCAGGTAAAGACCAACCGCCAATCAAAGCCTCCAATCTGAGGTTCACCAGAGTTCCCTAAATACTGGAAAGTGTTCCAGTCGATCACATCAATGACAGGACACACCACCGCCGAAGGCTCCTCTTTGATCCTGGAGTAGAAAGAGGAGGAAAGCTCTTGACAGGAATAAAGTAGTGTTATAAAGCCACGCTATGCCCTTGCTTTTAGAGAGTAAAATAACAGCTCTCCTTTGGCAGACTGGATGGTTTTCAGTGTTACACTTCAGTTATGCCTTTCCAACCACAAAGCAACAATGACAAAACACTCCATTTTCCCTGCTGAGGGTTTTCTAACCTGTGAAGCAGAGGCTCTAACCAGCCGTCATGACACTCGCAGTGACAGTCCAGGAAGGTCAGCACATCACCCGTGGTAATGGATGCCCCGAGCAACCGGGCACGCACCAACCCCTCCCTCTTGGTGGCCCGGATCAAACGCACCTTCCTCAAACCTGAGATGTGCTGCTCCAATGGCCCCTTCAGATGAGCTTCAGGAACAAGTAAACAGACAAACAATCTGATAAATGTGAATTGAAAACTGTTACGTGTTCACTTCAAACATTAAGAGATTAAATGGATCATGGACAACAAGCATGACACAACAAATACATTCTGCAGCCAGCTTTTGATAGCAGCTCGTAAAGCTGATTACCAAAGAAAGGAAAATAGTGTTCAAATGTTTTATACACAATAACTACATTCAGATCATCCATCTGCTGCCTTGTAGGTGGAATAACAACATGATTAATAAAATGGGCTTTGGTAAATTAATCCTTTGTCCTTAAACAGACCGTCAGAAATCCCTGCTGTTCTGATGGTATTACGAGTTTATGTTGATTTACATGCAAGAATACAAACATATCTAACAAATATTTTACAATGTATTTCTTTCCGTGCCCGTCTTCTAAGGTGTGATTGTGAAAGGTTCTTGGTCTCTACACCACCTCTTAATCTGAAATCATTTTCTGGTGAATTTCTTCACCGTTCTGTACAGCCAATGTTAACAGAGGGTGAGGCAGGCATTGCTTCATTCATAAGACCATGAAGCCAAAATGGTTTTGAACCACTCTCTAAAATGTCTCAGCTCTTCACAGTTAATCTGCATACAGAAAACAAAATAATGAATGGCCTCAAATTAGTGACAAAAAATCTCTTGAGTTCATCTTTAGCCAGCCACAGAATGCTTCTCTTTTTCCTCTTCCAATTTGAACACTGCGTTTGATCAAACTCTTCCAATTTACAGGAATACTGTTATTATTACTGTACCATTTGGCAAGATGTTACTGTGTCTTTATATTGAAGATAAATACAAAACCAGACATCTAGGATTCTAAACGGATGTGTATAAAGTGTCCCTTTAAGTCTGTGTCTCTGTTTGAATATCCTAATTGCCGACGTGTCACTGTGTCCTCCTCCCTTCAATTTATCTGACAAACTGATGATTGCCACCGTTCTGTTTCACGACTTGTGTGAACCTCTGACAACCTCTCTGTTCTCTCTGACTGTCAATCAGCACCCCTGACCGCCCCCAGCCCCTCTGCCTGTCCATCAGTCCGTCTCCCTCCATCAGTCCATGTTCGTACCTCTGTCACTGTAGTCGTCCACCAGCACCACCTCTTTCAGCAGGATGTCCGGAGACGTCTCCAGGACGCTGTGGACCGTCCTCAACAGGGTGGACCAGGCCTCGTTGTAGAAGGTGATGACAACGGAGGTTGTTGGCAGGGACCTGTAGTCATACTCCACCTCTTTGCAACTGCAATGTGTTAGATATAAGGAGTCATTTTGAAAAGGAGGATGTGGAAGTGGTTAAAACTGCAGAGTGGAAGGGGGCAGTAGCATGGCAAGCATCGGTTACACCCAATAGCAAATGATTGTACTAGTTAATTAGTGTCTTTTGGAAAAACAATTGCAGTTAGTCAGCTAGATTGTAGCTTTTGAATGGCATCCATAGTGTAGGATCCTATTCACTTTATAACAGTGTTTTTTGTTTTAAAAAAGTTTCACACTTCTTAACTAGCCCCAGATAAAAAACATTATTATATACCCCACATATTTAGTTTCTATTAGATATGGCAAGCATCAGTTACACCCCAAAAGCAAATTACTCTGTAGCCTACTACTTGTAAATTGTTGGCAGGTAGTCAGCTGGATTGTAGCTTCTGCATGGCATCCACAGTGTATAAAATCCCCTTTAACTTTATAACAGTGGTATAAAGCTTGACACTTCTCAACTAGTAACTCACAGTGGGTTCCATCTCTCTGGCAAACTGCGGTGTAGCGACACTTTATCACTGACATAAGTGTTTATCTGATGTTTTTGTATGCTTTCTTCCTCTTTTCTCTTCTCCTCTCCGTTCAGATTCAGCTTGACGGCTCTCCCCATTTCACCCAAGGCTAATAAATCCATGGGGGGCCTCTCGTAGACGGGTTTCTTTAGCTCTTCGTTCCCCACCTCTCGCTCCCCGGGGGGCTCTCGACGGTTTGTCACACTCACGTCCACTGAGTTGTGCCTGAAAAACACTAGATATCCCACTAAAGTGACACTCAAGAGGGAGAAAAGTATCGTTGGTCGGTGCCTTCTTCCGCAGAGTGCCATGTCGTCGTTTCCTTCCTCGGTGCAAACTTGGGTAGAAGTTTCATGCCCTGAGGAGCGGCACACTGGCACCTAATGTTTCTGCTGCTGAGCAAGAAGTGACCCTTTCACATTCACCAGCAGCCTCGTCACGTTTCCGTTTCACCACTTCAAGTTTAGTCCGCATTCTTTCAGACGAAACTAGTAGGCTATCAGTTTACGGAAAATAAATGAGTTTGTATTCAGTCTCAAACATGTCCAACTAAAAAAAAACTTTCGAGTTGTGATTACTTTGTCGTTGTTATCGTAACGGTCGTTGCAGTAGGACACTCCTCCTACTATTTTTAACGGTGTTCAAAGGATACGTGTCTGAAAAGGATTAGCAACCACGGATTTAACTAGTTATCTCGTTGGATTAGCCAGTTAACCTGTACATAACCTGAGGAATCCCTCTGGAAACAATGCAAATCTAGGTCAAATCAAAAACCCGTCCACTGTTTCTTTAAGTAAGTACATTTACTGCTAAAATAAAAAGACACATGTCAATTTATAGCGTCCAACTACTATCCTGCCAAACTCTTCTATGTTACCTTCAGATAATCCGTTTGAAATTTGCCTCTGGCTATTTAAATTTGAAGTTAAACCTACTGTCGTCAATTGGGCTGAGCTAGCAACGACTTTTCCGGTTCATGAATGTCAAAATAAAACCCCACAGCATATACACTATCGTAACACTTGCTAAAGCATTTAATTTGTTCTTGGCTAGTTAGCTTACAAAATTAAGCGATGTTCTGTTTAGTAGATCTCCCTAGTAATGCAACTTTCCTTCACCTAGTCCTTTATCAACAACACCCTTTTAATTTGAAGGCAAAATAGTTTAAGCGGAAGGGCAATGTGTTTGCTCCTGTAACTTCACACAAATGAAGTTCAACTGCCTGCGGCAGGACAGGACACATTTGAGAAGGAACCAGGGTCGACGTCATGGGGGGTCATTCGCGGGCCATGCCCCCCCCCCCCCCCCAAATGAGTCACTGTGCCCCCCCCCAACGCAGGGTGGGCAAGCCTTACCACTTTGCCTTTTTTGTCTGTTTTTTTTAATCATTAAAGTGAAAACGTTTCCACTAAAGGTTTTTTGTGTGAAATACATCAGAAATAAAGAATACAAATATAAAACACAGCCTGAGGTGTGCTCACTGCTGCTCTCTGATTGGTGTGTTGCTTGACCAATGACCCCCGACTTTTGTTTTGTTATCATTACGTGGCTGTGTGTTTAGATGAAAGCCCAGTGGCGATCTGTTAAACTGATTATACAGTAAAGCCATCGAAAATAATATGATATACAGTGAGTACAGTACAAGTAGCCTACTTCTGGGTCTCTGTGTTTCATTCAAGCTCGGCTCTGTGTGTGTGTGTGTGTGTGTGTGTGTGTGTGTGTGTGTGTGTGTGTGTGTGTGTGTGTGTGTGTGTGTGTGTGTGTGTGTGTGTGGCACGAGCGCATTTTGTGAGTGCGCGAGCGGTAACGTGGAATGTTGTTGTTAACATCTGGTTAGCTGGCTATGCTAACGGGTATAAAGAGCTGTTTCTACAACAAGGTGGAGGAGAGTCCTCTCCTGTCAGACTGAGAAGATCGTATAACCTCTGCCAGAGGTAAGGACTCTCAGTGTTTAGATAGTTCACTTTAGTGTAAGTTATCTCAGTGGGTCTCAAACGGTTTGGTCACCATTTATGTAAACAAGTATTTGCGAGGAACACCTTTATATGATCATTATAGTTATTAAAAAATAAGAGAATAAATGAAAAACGGGTATGAAATACTATGGGACACTAACACAAGAATACAGTTTAAAGGGGGAGTGATTAGTAAAATATCCATAAAGAAAAAGTAAATCTGTTTACAGTTCTGTTTCATATGGGTGCTGCTGAGAGATGTAGGCTATCCATAGATCTCTTCATTTAGCTCTCAAAGTGCACCAGATTGATGCATACCTTCAATATTTTAAAAATAATCTTCCCGGGGGAGCATGCCCCAGACCCTCCTAGAGGAGGTTAGGTCCACCCCCACCTAAAACATGTTCACATGGATAGGATACTAAATACATTTGCACACTTTTTATATGGTGGCCTATGTCCATATGTTTCTGTTTTGGTGGTCGTGCATACATGCACAAGTTGTTAGGGAAATAATTTTCCTAGACTCCTAGATATGAAGTGCATGACCAACCCTGACGTCTGTTATCTCCTTTAAGGAGATAGGCTGCTTCAGCCATAATGTTGTTGTTCCCATTATATGACCGGGCAACCCTAGGTCACAGATGGTTTATTGTTGTGGGTACACTGGGACACTTCCTTCTCTGTGTTTGTGGACTCCAAGGTGTGAAATCTTCGAGGCCATAAGTGTCAGACACAAGTAACTCAGTGTTCCCAACTGTTTATGCTATCTTCTCAAATATGTTGATTACTCTCTGCGAAACCAGTTAAATTGGCTAACGAGAGAGAGGCGCTCCAGAATTGACGTGGCAACTCTACCTTGAAGTCAGAACCTCTGGCTCTTGGACTTGTGATGTGAACTCTCCGGCCGAAGCTCCTAAATAAACCATCAGTGTTTGACATCAAAGCTCCTGCTCTTCCCGTGTCTCCTTCATGAGTCGGTGACTCCCACTGCATTGCTACACAGAAGTTTCTCCCACACAAATCATGGTGCGCTATAAAATAGCACTACACCCCTGCAATGTGTGTGAAAGACAATAGACTTTACAGCATGTTTTTTTAAATTGAAGTTGCGTTGGTGTTTGTGTGTTGGTTGTTGACGGCAGTGTGTGCCCCCCCCCATGGTAAATGATTGCCCCCCCATTCGATTTGTTCTAGAGCCGACCCTGGAAGGAACAGACCTATGGCCTGAAATATTTGTTATCAGAAATAGACATTTTGGCTTGAATTTCGATATTCATTTCCCAAATATCAGTTACAGACTTTATTTATTGACCTCTGGTTTCCCTCATATGTTGTAAAAGCCTAGGTTGAACATGTGACTGAGTTTCAGTTAACTTTTCCTCTCTGTGTTGACTTTTTTATCGATAAGCTTCCATTTATATTAACACGACAGATAAGAAACATTACCCCAAACTCTGTATAACTCTATATCCTCTTTACTGACCCTTCAGTGTAGAGCAAGCAAGAAATCATTTACCTTGGTGGTCCTATTCATATGCAGCCACTTGTAACTCACATGAAACTGATAAGAACACTCTTGACACCAAAGATGAAATCTGACACAAAATGTATGTTTAAGCAAATTAAATGCTAAATAATTAAGGCGATCCTTCAAGGTGAGAAGGTAATTTGAGTGGCGTATAGTACATAAAACTACAAAGAGACATGGGAAATGTAACTAGTCAACCGCAGTGTTGGAATATGTCATGGTAGGCTGGGCTTGTCGTCTGTCAGAAACACAATATTAATGTTACTGCATGAGGGCGTTTTCATTTAGGACCGGGTGATGGATAACATTTTCCATGCAACAGATATTTTGTGCAAATATATTAACAGGAAAATAGATGTGTGCACCTTTGGGAAAAGGTATGATCCTTGATGTTGTAACACCACTAAGTACACTACAGTATGTAACCAGTGTGCAACACCTTTCCCCCCCTACTTTCAATTCAACTTCCAGTGTTCATCACAACCATTGCTGTGTAATAGTAATTTATAGAATTGCAAGAAGTCCTCCATTAATGTTTCAAATGTCGATAGTTGTGTTTGTAAACAACATAAAAAAAGGATTTCACACCGAAATACTGTGACAATCACACTGGAGAAGTTAATGTTACGCCACAATGAAGTCTCTCTGGAGCAAAAACAGTTAAACGTATTTGTTAAAGCACGTTATCTCTCCTGGAAAGATAATATAATATAACTCACAAGGAATTTAAGTCAAATAGCCAAGGTGCCATTAAGTAATCAAAGGCTTCAGTGGATCTTAAGTTAATCAGATGAGAAAGAAGCCCATTTTTTTGTGATCTGTAAAATTAAACTATAGAGTCCTATACTTATTCAGATAGATTAAGCAGACATTTTACAGATTTCAAGTGTGTAAGGGAACAAAGAAAACAAGGATATGAAGAACATTAAATGTATGCAGCATGTCAGACGAGGAAGTCTGCGGCAGCATCAAGATGATACAGTAGTCAACAATAACTATGTATAGCAAACAGATCAGTGTAGTCCATTTTAGTTTGCATTACAAAAAAAAACACTTGACCCTGAATAAATAATTTCTCTTTCCTTTGGATCTTTTTTTGTCTCATTACTCAAGTCTCACCTACTTCAGGTCTCATTCTGATCCTCTAAATAAAGTCACTATTTTTCCTACTCTTTTCTTCAATCTCACCTAAATCATTGGGTTTTTAAAAGACCATTGCTCACAATGCTTACCTCTAACAGAAGAGGGTGATATACTGTAGAGTTACTGAAAATATTAAAAAAATCTATGACTTAAAATGGCTTGAATCGTTTCTGCATGATGTTAATCAATGATAGGGTAAACACACAATGTGTAATTTGATGTACATTTTTGACCTACTCTTTGCTTAATAAAATACACAGGTTAGCTAACTCCTTCATGTAATCTGAAGGTCTAAGTGGTTTCCACCATCAGTAATTAAATGTTTTCTTCTAGCCTGACAGTGTGGCCAGGACAGGAACTATGGTCTGCCCTTGGAAGACATTGTAATTTGCTTTCCTACCAGGAGGTGGTGCCAAATGACTGAGAATAATGTAATCCATGTCTGAATGGTATGGGGAGAAGCAGCGCTATATGGCGCTGGGGAGAAGGAAGCTGTGGCAGTTTGTAAATGCCAGTCTCAATAAATCCCCTTATCTGTTTCATATTGTCATTTAATGTCACACAAAAAAGAACCACAGGTAGTGAACCGTGCAGTTCACTACCTGAACTCATGAAAATGACACTTTGCATCTGTGGTTAGTTTTTTTATACCTTCAATCATCCCAACAGTTTGAACCATAATTGACATCCATCCCATTTCAATCATCACCCTCTTCTTCATATCAAGTAATCATCATCACCATCCCTTTTGCATTTTCAGTAGTTTTAAAAGTGCTTCACAACAGCACTGTCCCACTCTGGTCCCTTAAACCAAACATTATTTACAAAGTTACAGAAAAACAGGAGTCATCTCACTGTACATGTTTACCTGCTGTATCCATCGACTAGTATGAATATCTCATATGAATTCAAAGGACACCAAACATTGCTCAGTGATAAGCAGTCTTCGGCAAATACAGCTGCTATTCAACAACAGTTACACTGCATCTCTTGGTAACTGAATCTCAGTGGAAACACCAACAGGCCTTCAGTGAAAAAATAAAACAGGACTTTTTCATGATGCTGCTTCAAGTACAGTTTACACACACAAGTCTAAACAAAACAGTCTTGCACTGAGAAACTGCTGGATTAAATCAAACAGGCACTCCCTTTAAGCTATTTCTTGCTGTATAAAATCAAGTGCATCGCGCCAGTGTTTAGTTTTGAGCATTAAAAACACATATGCAATTCATTTCAAATCCACTGGCACATTTCATTTCGGCACCAACAAGTTCTTAAAAGATTACA